AAGAAGCGGATGTTAAATGAGTCACCCGCTATCCGCCACATGCGAGCGCCTTTTGGTTACTTACTGCCATGCATGCCTTCGATTGCACTTAAAAAAAGTTCCAACTGAATTTAAGCCAATTAAAGACGTCACCTCGACAAACAACGAAAAAACAGAAGCAGATTATTGCTCCTGAACCTATTCCGCCACACGCGAGCGCCTTTTTTGTCATTGCGACGCCTTCTATTGCAACTAGAAAAAAAGTTCCAACTGAATTTAACCAAATTACAGACGTCACCAAGACAACACGAAAAAAAGAAGCGGATTTCAATGCTCCTGCCGCTATCCCACACATGTGAGCGCCTTTTTGTCATTGCAACGCCTTCTATTGCACTAGAAAAAAGTTCCAACTGAATTTAAGCCAATTGAAGACGTTCACCTCGAACAAACACGAAAAAAAAAAGCGTATTTTTAACGCTCCTGCTGCTATCCGCCACATGCGAGCGCCCTTTTTGTCATTGAGACGACTTCCCTTTTGCCCTAGAAAAAAGGTCCAACTGAATTTAAGCCAAATTAAGACGTCACCTCGACAAACAGCGAAAAAAAAATATGCGGATTTTAACGCTTCTCTGCCGCTATCCTCCAGATGTCGAGCGCCTTTTTTTGTCATTGCGACGCTTCGATTATTGTTCTTGAAGGGTTCTTTAGTAAAGACAGTGGTTCTGTATAGAACCATGAACACACAAAGAACCATCTGCATGCTTAAATGGTTCTCTGCATGGTGAAATTGTTCTTCAGATTGATGGAGAATGTGTTGTGTATGGTTCTAAATACAACCCCATTTCCAAAAAAGTCGGGACGCTGTGCAGAATGTAAATAAAAATAGGATGCAAATCATGTAAACCATATTTTAAACACACACACACTAACACACCACCACCACGTCAGTGTTACTGCAGTGCTGAGAATGATCCACCACCCAAATAGTACCTTCTCTGTGAGGGTCCATGGGGGTCCTGACCACTGAAGAACAGGGTAAAACGGGGCTAACAAAGTATCAGAGAAACAGATGGACTACAGTCTGTAACTGTAGAACTACAAAGTGCACCTATATAGTAAGTGGAGCTGATAAAATGGACAATGAGTGTAGAAACAAGGAGGTGGTCATAATGTTATGCCTGATCGGTGTATGTAAGGTAAAAAAATAAGATTTGTACCAGTTCAACCAGGTAATGTGAACGCGGCCTAACTTTTTAGATCTTTTAGAACATTTGCTGCAGTGAATCTAGTTTGCTGTTTTTGAAATACCTTCTCGCATCACTCTAATGCAGGATGCATGTTTAATGGCATGCTTCCTGGTATATAAGCGCTGCTTACATGCTACCTATTCTGTTCGTGTCACGTTCCTGTTTGTGTCCGATACGCCTCATGGCCTTCTTGCAACTCTGTTTCGCCTCAAGGGACAAAAACAATTATGCCCAGCGACGGTGTTAGGAGCCGGCTGCTGTTTATTAGACTATAAAGGGACGTAGAGGCCCGTCTCCCATTCGTTACATCCTATCAGGGTCTAATCTAGCAGTCCAGAGGAGCCTGGCCTTCTGCTGATTTCACTACTGCTCTGTTTTAACCTCATTATACACACATTTAATAAAATGTGTTTTACCTGCTGTTCACTTTACCTTACTGACAGGCATGCTTACCAAAGTGAGGCTTGCCAAATAGGCAAGGACACATTGCCATAATGTATTCAAGCCACTACTGCTGTAGAGATGCCACACGTCACAGATGTAAAGTGGAAACAGGTGCACTCTTTCAGACAGTCTGCTGCAAACTCAATACGCACTCAGATTGAGACCAGGTGCGCTAAGACCGACCTGCTATGCTGAAGCTCTTTACTCAAAAAAAGTTTCCTCTCTCTCTCCCCACCTCTTTTCGCCCCTTAGGTGTTCTTCTGATTCTGTCAGTGCCGGAGAGGCTGGTATCCTTCGCAGAGGAGCTCTACCCCAGCTGGACCCCCCGGAGCTTCGTCTCCATGGTAACAACGAGCAGGGCCCTCCCCATGGTCCCGGCAAGACTTCCTGACTGGATGCAGACGCAGACGCCGACTCCAAGCCAGGATCGCACCATTCTAGCCAGAACAACCGTTGGGCCAAGTCCTGGAGACCAACTCCTTGGAACCAGGATCAAGCAACATGGGTCAAACTCTGCTGGACCCCAGTCTAACAGAACCAGCTCTGGTTCTGTCTTCACACCATCCCAGGTCCAGAACTCCAGCACCAACTCTGCAAAACTGCCCAGTAAGCCTTTGCCTATAAGCAAGGGGCCAGGGACGGATCACGCTGGGGTGGTCAGCGGAAAGCAGACAGGAGTTACTGGTTCAGACTCTGCTAGCTCTGCTCTCTCAGGGACTGGCAATGATGTGGCCCCTTTGGCTAGGGGGCCCCAGAGCACAGAGTCTACCCAGCAAGGGGCCCCAACTAAAAGAGGGGACACCTTGCGCCAGGGGCAGGCAGGCGGGGAGCGTCATGCTATCACGCTGCGCAATGCGCCCCCACTTACCGCAGGCCCCACGCTCCTTACTACTGCGGACATCCCACTCGTGACCCAGCCTGGGCCCTCACATCCTAGTCTGGCTTCAAATTTGGCCACAGCCACCCCCAGTTCTGAAACAAAGACCAAGACATCCCCCTCCTCTCCTTCCAACATGGTTGCTGGCACGTCTGGCAGTGCAACAAAGACCGTAGGGGGCACTCAAGCACCAACCAACATGTCCACTGACACTGACTCTTTCTCCCCACGGGGTAATGCAAGAGGCTCCTTTAATGGCAGTGAAGGTGCTTCAGGGAACGTTCAGCCGCCCCAAAATGACTTAAACGCCTCTGAGTCGACCTCCACGGCTAAAGGGGACTTCCAGAACAGTGTGGTTCCTGGCACTGCACGAGGGCCCCTGGGCACAGGGAACCAGTCAGGCCCCACTGTGGACCCTTCCGAAGCCCGCACCACCATCTGCCTGGGCAAGATGGATATCATATGGGTGGTGTTGGCCATCAGCGTGCCTGTGTCTTCTTGCTGTGAGTATCTGGTGTAACGCATCACCACATCTGACCATAATCCACTTGGGTTTATTGACTCCAGTGTTATTATAGTAGAGCTGGGTTATATTGCGATTATATTGCTCCATATTAAGACTGGGATACTAATCACTTATGTGCAAATTACAGACTTTTGAGATTGCAGTATCAAGATTTCTGAACACACTGTAAGTTGTATAGTCCTAATGCCTAAATAATGATAAATGTTTACTTAATTAATAGGAAAAAGTACCATTAATTGATTTATTTGAATTAATGATTATAACAAGGTAAATAAATATTGAAAAAGTGAATAATTAGGGGTGGGTCATTTCGACAGGTGTGAACACCCAAAATCAAGTGCTCACTAAATCAGTGGTGTCAAACTCAAACACTAAAATGGCCATATCAAAAAATCTCAGCAAGTTCGTGGACCAGCTGTGTTTTTATATAATTTTTTTTTTTACCCAATTATCTCCCCCATTTAGTCGTCTCCAATTCCACCCGCTAGTTAGGACTCCCCCAATCACACGATACTATCAATGCTAGGAGGGTGAAGGCCAACACAGGCTTCCTCCGAGACCTGTGAAGCCAACCACCGCTTCTTTTCAAACTGCCGCTCACGCAACGTCCTGAACGGGCCATTGTTTATTCAAAATATGCCAAAACTGCAACAGCAAAATAGTTATTCAGAAATACTTCTAAATAAAAATAAATTGTTTTAGGTCGGTTTTTAAAACTGACTATTTGCTTGAACTACACTCCAGGCATCTTTTCTTGTGTAACCGCTGGCCCATAGATTGTTTTTGGGGGAAGGGGATCAGAATGCACACTATGTTGCAGTGCATGCTGGGAACTGTAGTGCAGCTCAGGGTGAAACGGGCTAATAAGAATAGAAAATTGAAATAATTTCCCAGGACGAATAGGACTGTGTCACGGGCCTGACTTGGCCTGCGGGCCTTGTGTTTGACTCATGGGCACTAAACAATGGAACTGTGGTCTGCCAAATACAGCAGGTCTCGTTGTGCTTCCAGGTGACCCCTGGTTCAGTTTGCTGCTGATAGGAACATATTTGTACAATGGTCTGTACCAAATGAGCTTATCTGTGCTGCACTGTCCACATGATCTGCTTGCATTTGACTATTTGCAGATGCCCATATCATTTTGGCTGATAAGAAACACAAGCATTTCATTTTGGCACCAAGACAGTGGAATGTATTTTTAATAGGTTGCCAGGCATCTTGACTACAGCTGCAACAAATATGTAATAAAATTAGATAAACTTGATAATTAAATAATTTAAAAACAGAAAAGTCATTCAAATAACCAGTCCTTTCACTCGTTTTCAGGAAACCATATGCCTCTGTGCATTTGTTTTTATCAACCTGACGGAAAACTGAGCGCTAATGAGTCAGCAGTATTAAAAATTTAAGGTTAGCCTTTTTCAAGTCAGTCATAGGATTCTTTCCTGTTAAAGCTGTTGTATCTCGGCGGTAGTCAGAGGTCGGACTGTCAACACTCTGTGTCTAACTATCTCTATTAGATCTCTAATTTTAGGCTATAATGATGGTTATAAAGTCTAAAAATCACGCTTATTGCATTTATTTTGGAGAAAAAAGGAGAGCGTGTTGGCTTGCGAGCTAATCTAGAGCACAGAGAAACTTATTCAGACTGTGCTGGGCAATAAGACCAATACAGTAGAATTTAACGTGTGCTCTACTGCAATGCACATCAAAGACCTGTTGAAACAGTCTCAGTATCCTGATCAAGGTTGCCAGATTGACCTGAATCCCCTGAATTTGATGCTATGCTACTTGCAATGACAGTAATTGGTTATCAGTGTTTTTCTATTACTGTCTAGCATTTGAAGTGTAATAAAAAAAACATAAATGAACAGAAAATAAATGAATATATTCCAGCAATCGAAAAAACAAATTAACAATAAATAATATGATATTAATAATGATAATAATAATTGTAATAATGATACATAATGATATGTTTTTTAAAAAATTCAGTCATGAAACATGCATCTTGAGCTATTTTTATTCTTATAGAATATTCAAATAATCGAGATTATATTTGACAGAATATTCAAAAGTGAAAATATTCAATCGTTGCAGTCCTTATTGGTTGCCAACCCTAATGAAATGATAATGCTGACCAAAATGATTACTGTCCAGCCTTAAACACTGCAGCAGTGGAATTGTCCGAAATTAGCTTAATTCAAATCATGTAAAAGCCTTAATGGTTTAAAAAGGATGGTTCTTCAAGGGTTCTTTAGGAAAGAAAATGGTTTTATATAGAACCATGAACACTCAAAAAACCCTTTGCATGATTAAAGGGCTCTTTGCATCACGAAAGCGTCCTTCAGTGTTGTATATGGTTCTATATAGAATTGTTTTAAAAGGGTTCTAAATGGCACCCAAAAGGGTTCTTCTATTGTAACAAGCCTAACATCGTTACAAGAGAAGAACCCTTTTTGGTGCTATATAGAACCAATGTCAAGCTTGTAACAATAGAACAACTCTTTGTGGTGCACACTTAGATGGTTCTTCAAGGATTCTTTAATAGAGAAAATGGTTCTATATAGAACCATGAACACTCAAAGAACGCATTGCATGATGAAAGGGTTCTTCAGATTGATTGAGAATATGCTTTAGCTGGTTCTATAAAGAACCTTGTTCTTTATACAAAATTGTTCTATTTAGCACCTAAAAGCGTTCTTCTACTGGTATGGTGTCAAGCTTGTAACAATAGAAGAACCCTTTTTGATGCTTTATAGAACCCTTTTAAAAAAGGTTCTATGTGCAACCATTTACAACACATTCCCCATCAATCTGAAGAACTCATAATGCAAAGAGCCCTTTAATCATGAAAAGGGTTCTTTGAGTGTTCATGGTTCTATATAGAACGACTTTCTTTAGTAAAGAGCCCTTGAAGAACCATCTTTTTATGTGTGAACATAGTATAATATAATTATCTTTAGTAAAGAGTATAGAATCATTATCTTTATTAAAGAGTATAGAATCATTATCTTTATTAAAGAGTATAGAATCATTATCTTTAGTAAAGAGTATAGTATCATTATCTTTATTAAAGAGTATAGTATCATTATCTTCAGTAAAGAGTATAGAATCATTATCTTCAGTAAAGAGTATAGTATCATTATCTTTAGTAAAGAGTATAGAATCATTATCTTTATTAAAGAGTATAGAATCATTATCTTTAGTAAAGAGTATAGTATCATTATCTTTATTAAAGAGTATAGTATCATTATCTTTAGTAAAGAGTATAGTATCATTATCTTCAGTAAAGAGTATAGTATCATTATCTTTATTAAAGAGTATAGTATCATTATCTTCAGTAAAGAGTATAGTATCATTATCTTTAGTAAAGAGTATAGTATCATTATCTTTATTAAAGAGTATAGAATCATTATCTTCAATAAAGAGTATAGAATCATTATCTTTAGTAAAGAGTATAGTATCATTATCTTTAGTAAAGAGTATAGTATCATTATCTTCAGTAAAGAGTATAGTATCATTATCTTTAGTAAAGAGTATAGTATCATTATCTTCAGTAAAGAGTATAGTATCATTATCTTTAGTAAAGAGTATAGTATCATTATCTTTAGTAAAGAGTATAGAATCATTATCTTCAATAAAGAGTATAGAATCATTATCTTTAGTAAAGAGTATAGTATCATTATCTTTATTAAAGAGTATAGTATCATTATCTTCAGTAAAGAGTATAGAATCATTATCTTCAGTAAAGAGTATAGTATCATTATCTTTAGTAAAGAGTATAGTATCATTATCTTCAGTAAAGAGTATAGTATCATTATCTTTATTAAAGAGTATAGAATCATTATCTTCAATAAAGAGTATAGAATCATTATCTTTATTAAAGAGTATAGAATCATTATCTTTATTAAAGAGTATAGAATCATTATCTTTATTAAAGAGTATAGTATCATTATCTTTATTAAAGAGTATAGTATCATTATCTTCAGTAAAGAGTATAGAATCATTATCTTTAGTAAAGAGTATAGTATCATTATCTTCAGTAAAGAGTATAGTATCATTATCTTCAGTAAAGAGTATAGTATCATTATCTTCAGTAAAGAGTATAGAATCATTATCTTCAGTAAAGAGTATAGTATCATTATCTTTAGTAAAGAGTATAGTATCATTATCTTCAGTAAAGAGTATAGTATCATTATCTTATTAAAGAGTATAGAATCATTATCTTCAATAAAGAGTATAGAATCATTATCTTTATTAAAGAGTATAGAATCATTATCTTTATTAAAGAGTATAGAATCATTATCTTTATTAAAGAGTATAGTATCATTATCTTTATTAAAGAGTATAGTATCATTATCTTCAGTAAAGAGTATAGAATCATTATCTTTAGTAAAGAGTATAGTATCATTATCTTCAGTAAAGAGTATAGTATCATTATCTTTAGTAAAGAGTATAGTATCATTATCTTTAGTAAAGAGTATAGTATCATTATCTTTATTAAGAGTATAGAATCATTATCTTCAATAAAGAGTATAGAATCATTATCTTTAGTAAAGAGTATAGTATCATTATCTTTATTAAAGAGTATAGTATCATTATCTTCAGTAAAGAGTATAGTATCATTATCTTTAGTAAAGAGTATAGTATCATTATCTTTAGTAAAGAGTATAGTATCATTATCTTTAGTAAAGAGTATAGAATCATTATCTTCAGTAAAGAGTATAGAATCATTATCTTTAGTAAAGAGTATAGAATCATTATCTTTATTAAAGAGTATAGAATCATTATCTTTATTAAAGAGTATAGTATCATTATCTTTATTAAAGAGTATAGAATCATTATCTTTATTAAAGAGTATAGTATCATTATCTTCAGTAAAGAGTATAGAATCATTATCTTTAGTAAAGAGTATAGAATCATTATCTTTATTAAAGAGTATAGAATCATTATCTTTATTAAAGAGTATAGTATCATTATCTTTATTAAAGAGTATAGAATCATTATCTTCAATAAAAAGTATAGAATCATTATCTTTAGTAAAGAGTATAGAATCATTATCTTTATTAAAGAGTATAGAATCATTATCTTTATTAAAGAGTATAGTATCATTATCTTCAGTAAAGAGTATAGTATCATTGTCTTTAGTAAAGAGTATAGAATCATTATCTTCAATAAAGAGTATAGTATCATTGTCTTTAGTAAAGAGTATAGAATCATTATCTTTAGTAAAGAGTATAGTATCATTATCTTCAGTAAAGAGTATAGTATCATTATCTTCAGTAAAGAGTATAGTATCATTATCTTTAGTAAAGAGTATAATATAATTATCTTTAGTAAAGAGTATAGTATCATTATCTTTAGTAAAGAGTATAGTATCATTATCTTCAGTAAAGAGTATAGTATCATTATCTTCAGTAAGAGTATAGTATCATTATCTTCAGTAAAGAGTATAGAATCATTATCTTTAGTAAAGAGTATAGTATCATTATCTTCAGTAAAGAGTATAGTATCATTATCTTTAGTAAAGAGTATAGTATCATTATCTTTAGTAAAGAGTATAGTATCATTATCTTTATTAAAGAGTATAGAATCATTATCTTCAATAAAGAGTATAGAATCATTATCTTTAGTAAAGAGTATAGTATCATTATCTTTATTAAAGAGTATAGTATCATTATCTTCAGTAAAGAGTATAGTATCATTATCTTTAGTAAAGAGTATAGTATCATTATCTTTAGTAAAGAGTATAGTATCATTATCTTTAGTAAAGAGTATAGTATCATTATCTTCAGTAAAGAGTATAGAATCATTATCTTTAGTAAAGAGTATAGAATCATTATCTTATTAAAGAGTATAGAATCATTATCTTTATTAAAGAGTATAGTATCATTATCTTTAATAAAGAGTATAGAATCATTATCTTCAATAAAGAGTATAGAATCATTATCTTTAGTAGAGTATAGAATCATTATCTTTAATAAAGAGTATAGAATCATTATCTTTATTAAAGAGTATAGTATCATTATCTTCAGTAAAGAGTATAGTATCATTGTCTTTAGTAAAGAGTATAGAATCATTATCTTCAATAAAGAGTATAGTATCATTGTCTTTAGTAAAGAGTATAGAATCATTATCTTTAGTAAAGAGTATAGTATCATTATCTTCAGTAAAGAGTATAGTATCATTATCTTCAGTAAAGAGTATAGTATCATTATCTTTAGTAAAGAGTATAATATAATTATCTTTAGTAAAGAGTATAGTATCATTATCTTTAGTAAAGAGTATAGTATCATTATCTTCAGTAAAGAGTATAGTATCATTATCTTCAGTAAAGAGTATAGTATCATTATCTTCAGTAAAGAGTATAGAATCATTATCTTTAGTAAAGAGTATAATATAATTATCTTTAGTAAAGAGTATAGTATCATTGTCTTTAGTAAAGAGTATAGTATCATTATCTTCAGTAAAGAGTATAGTATCATTGTCTTTAGTAAAGAGTATAGTATCATTATCTTCAGTAAAGAGTATAGTATCATTGTCTTTAGTAAAGAGTATAATATAATTATCTTTAGTAAAGAGTATAGTATCATTATCTTTAGTAAAGAACCCTTGAAGAACCATCTTTTTTATGTGTGCAGTTTATAGCCAACATGCAATCAGTACACACGATCAATCAAGTTGATCATTCTCTCTTCTCGTCCACAGCCGTGCTGCTGACGGTGTGCTGCATGAGGAAGAAGAAGAAGTCAGCCAGCCAGGAGAACAACCTGAGCTACTGGAACAACGCCATCACCATGGACTACTTCAGCCGCCACGCTGTGGAGCTCCCGCGCGAGATACAGCCGCTGGAAACTGCTGATGTACGACTAATAAACCAGTCTCAGATCTAGAGCCCACAGATTCGGCCCTAGAGTCCCGCCTCATTATAGAGGAAGGGTAGAATGTGAGGTTTAACGAGTTTCGAGGTTGGATCAGAACTAAGTGAGCCCACTCTTATGACCCGCTGCTACAGCAGCTGTTCTGAATTACGTTGTTCATTTGTGTCCAGCTGGACCGAAATGAATTCTATAGGTGTTAATTCTACACCATAGGTGTTCATTTAAGGCCGGCTATTTCGTTGAGCTCTGCAGATTTTTGTATGTCCCCTAATTTCATATGCAATTAGTTAAAGGCTTTAAAGAAAATTCCAGAGCCTTTTCCAAATTTCTGCATAATTAAATGGTTGAGATGTAAACAGAGTCATTCAGAGGGGTATAAAATGCTATGTTCATTGGATGCGTTTACATGCACTCAATAATCCGATCATAATCGGATTTCTGATGTTATCTGATTATTCAAATGGTCATGTAAACAGCACAATCTGATTTCTCAGATAGGAGTAAGGTCTAGAAATTCTATGAAGAAATCTGATAAAGAGGCTGGATTTTGGCTCAGTAATCAGATTTCTCAGTGCATGTGAACTCTTGCTCGGATTTCTTTCGGATTTCTCAGTCTGAGCATGTGTGAAAACCAACAGCGGTACCGGAAATAAGTGAGCAGCGTCGCCGCGAGACGCAGTAAAACACTTTTGAGGCGACACTGTAACCAAGTACATGCTTGACAAAATGAAGCATTGAGATATTCTTCATCTTCTAGATGATGCATGTTCATATTTTCAAAGTGGGTCGATGTTTTTAAAAAAAGCTGTGGCATAAAGTTTTAGTTTTACGTCGCGTCTTCTTCTGTGAGTTTATTGGCTGGTTGTAAAGCAGAAATCTGAATACTGCCTGACTCATGTAGACCTGGAGTTTCCACATTATCTGATTACTCATGTATATGTAAACATGTCAATCAGATCACTGACAAAATCTGATTTTCTGCAGTTTATTGGATTATTAAGTGCATGTAGACGCACTCATTGTTTTACGATAGTCTTGCGATAACACTTTGGCCAATATATATGTACATGCAGGGTGGGGAGGTACATGTAGGGCATTGTAAGGCCAAATAGCACCCAATGAAAATTGATCTTTTCAGATTTATCACTACTTTAATATTTATCAATATTATTTTTAAAAAATCACGAGACACATGTAGGTTCACTGGTTGTTGGTTCACTGGTTGTTTTAGATGGTAAATAAAATGTCTATCCTTGCATTTCATGGATACCACACTGCATAACTGCAACCATTTTGAGGACTGAATAGAGAACTGACTGCACTATCTAACAGGGTGCCTTTCTAGTTGCTGTGCTGTTGGTTGCATTAACAATAAAGTAACCAAGGAATTATAACTTTCCATGATTTTATTGCTCTCTGTCATGAATCTAAGCTAATTCCAAGATCGGTCAGAACAATCTGACTCACAGGAAACCACTTTTAATGACTCTGTTTACATCTCAAAGATTGAATTATGTGGAAATTTTGAAAAATATTAGTGGAATTCCCCTTTAATGGCCGGATTCAGGTGTGTTAGTATGGGGTCCTTTTCTGGATTTGGGAACAGCTGGGTTAGAGAGTGGATTTCTCTGACTTTCACTGTGGATTCGCCTCGTCTGTCCAGTTTTAAAGACTTTTAATAGATAATTTAGCACTTAATAATTCAGCACCTGCCCACTGGCTTCTAAGTATATTTCAAGTCAGGTTTTCTGTTTTTTACAGTACAGAGAGCTTTGTTGAAATAATTGTGGTAATCGACCGAATGCTGCAGGTGAATTCCTTCAGAAATTTCAGTGAAGATCAATAAAAATTAATATTTTAGCCAGAGAACAAATAAAACATGAATCTGAACACTAATTAGTAGAACCTGTAGAAATTTCCTATGTTAAGTTTAACCCTCTATTGCATGATGTTGCCTCAGGGCAACAAACTCATTTTCGTCATTATACAAATTTAAAGACAACAATAGGGTTAACAATAAGGGTAAGAGTTTGAGTAAGTCAATAAAAAGCGTGTACTTGGTTATACTATCTCTAAGTGGGCACATTTAACCCTCTTTTTTAAGTTAAGAACCATTTTTTTTGTTATGGGAATTTGCAGAAATATGTTTGTTGCCTAGAAGCAACATTGTGTGACAGTGGAATGGATTTAGCCAGTCACAAGCCAGGTCTCACCACTTCAGGGAACACAGATCTATATCATTTCTTCACAACGTCTCACAACGTTGTCTCAAGGCAGAATACTCCAAAAGGCCCCCTGCATACATTTTTTAATGTATTTGAATTTAATAATTTGGACCGATTATTAATAATCATTATATATAATTTTATAATGATATAATTTAATAATCAAGGAGCATTTTATGCAAGAAAAGTGAATGCAAGAAAGTGAAGTTTGTCAATTGCTCTCATAACGCATGCAGTAGAGGGTTAACTTGTTCCAGCAGCAGCAAATTAGCCCGCAGTACGCCACTGTCTCCCAGCAAAAAGAGATTTAAAGAGCCGTAGGGTTTACTGGGGTTGTAGCTAATGACGTTGTCTGAGTAAGATATTCATTTAGGAAGCAGAAATAGACGTTCACAGACTTCGCCTCGTAGGCCTTCGGTAAATTAATAATCAGCAGTGCTCTGTAATAGGAGCACGCTTAAAAATCCAGGTTTAAAAGGCCCACATCGGACATTTTTCTTGTAATGGACTGTTTTCCTTGAGGTCCACTTATGATGTTTGTGTGTTATGTACCAAAAATAGTCATAATCCATTTATACATGCTTTTGTGGCTGAGCTTTAAAGGCTGATGTACACCGATCAGGCATAACATTATGACCACCTCCTTGTTTCTATGCTCATTGTCCATTTTATCAGCTCCACTTACTATATAGGTGCACTTTGTAGTTCTACAGTTACAGACTGTAGTCCATCTGTTTCTCTGCATACTTTGTTAGCCCCCTTTTACCCTGTTCTTCGGTGGTCAGGACCCCCATGGACCCTCACAGAGCAGGTACTATTTGGGTGGTGGATCATTCTCAGCACTGCAGTAACACAGACGTGGTGGTGTGTTAGTGTGTGTTGTGCTGGTACGAGTGGATCAGACACAGCAGTGCTGTGGTTGCAGTCCAGATCTGTCACCACTGATAACATTTGGCACATTATGAAATGAAACGGCAAGCCGTTTTAGCTTTTATTCCTATTTTTCTTGACGTCAGGAATTAAATTTACACATAAAAAAAAATTCCACTAAAAAAAATGAATTCTTGATATTTAGTTTTTCATATCAAGAACTTAATTCTTTCTAGTAAACATTGAATTTTTTATATTAAGATGTTTCATTTTTACTAGTGAAAATTTAATTTTTGATATTTTTTGATATTTATATTCTCACATACTACATTAAACTCTTAATGAAAAAAGGAAATTCAGTTTTCCATGATGTGGCCACACTCTCACTGATCTTTATCGCCATCTGGTGTTCAAATCCCGCTACTACTGCTTCTATAGAGCTCGACCTCACTCAGCGCATGTTATTCTGCCGTGCTTTAATCACTGCTGCCCCTTTGTGATCATGCTTTCCAGTCCATCTGATCCACTTTTCATTTTTATCCCTTTTTTCTGTTCTTTGTCTCCTGCCGTCTGCCGTTTTCTCACAGGAGTGTGATGATGGGGAGGGATCGTGTTTGACATGCTGGTGACACACAGGTCTTCTGTTTTCACTCTTTTCTTTCTCTTTCTCTTTTTAGAAATGCAGAGAAAACGCCTCCCACTTCTTTTCCTGCCTTTCATGCTCTTTTTTGCAACATCTCACGATTCTCCTTCTTCGTTCTTCCTCTCTTAGTCCCCCGTCTCTTTTCTGTGATGATGAGATTCTAGATTACCTGAGCGTTAAAAAAATCCACATCAGTTCTTAGCATTATAGCTCCTTAGCTAGCTGTGAGTGATTAGTACTTAGAGGACTGTGATTCAACAGAGAACAGGTTTGGGGAGGTCGGCTCACTTGCTACACATCACACTGAGTGTGTTTACATGCACTCAATAATCCGATCATAATCAGATTTCTGCAGTTATCTGATTATTGAATTGGTCATGTAAACAGCACACTCTGATTTCTTAGATCGGAGTAAGGTCTAGAAATCTGATTAAGAAATCTGATAAAGAGGCTGGATTTTAGCTCAGTTATTAGATTTCTCAGTGCAATGAATCACAATAACAATAAAATATCGTCATATTGCCCACCCCCATGTTTACATATGCTAAAACAGATTGCAGATTAGCTCACTGTCGCTAGCTTAGCCAGTGTCCTATTAAAAAGTTTGCTTGTTGTTCGATATTGTTCGAACAGACGATATCCACAATGTATTCAAAAAAGCTTATTAGGGCGTAATGAATCACAATGACAATAAAATATCGTCATATTGCCCACCCCTATGTGTATATATGCTAAGGCAGATTGCAGATTAGCTCACTGCCGCTAGCTTAGCCAAGGTCCTATTAAAAGATTTGCTTTCTGTTCAATAATGTTTGCACAGATGATATCCACAACATACTCAGAAAAGCATATTGTGGTGTAAAGAATCCCGATAACAATAAAATATCGTCATATTGCCCGCCCCTATGTTTATGTATGCTAAGGCAGATTGCAGATGAGCTCACTATCGCTAGCTTAGCCAATGTCCTATTAAAAAGTTTGCCTCCTGTTTGTCCCTCCTCCTCCCGTCCTGTAGCTGACACGTCCGAGTTTTGAGGCGAAGTCAACGAGGGCCTGTCTATAAAACAGTTCTAAAACCCAGTTTCCCAATTCTCCGACTCAGCGCCGCTAACCGTGGCCCTGTTTTGTTTTGCAGGAGCAGGAGACGTGTCTGCCCCCGAACGGTGATTACAGCGACAGCGGCGTCGTGCTGGTTAACCCTTTCTGCCAAGAGACTCTCTTCATCAACAGAGACAAGGCCTCCGACATCTGAGCATCTTTAAACAGAGCCGGAATCTCTCTGGCCTCTCGCCTGTCTCCTCTCTCCTTCTCAAAGGTGTTTTTTTATAATGTGGTGGACCTTCAGAGACTGCGCTTTATATATGATATATATATATATATAGAAACCGGTTTTAAAGAGATGAATGAATAAGACAAAAGCACTCTACCGTGAGGGTGAGCCCTTCACATATTTTTCTGATGTACATTTTCTACAGATGCTTAATTGTGATAAGGGTTTTTATGTCTTTTTGAATCAAAATGGTATGTGTGTGGTTTCCGTGGCGTTCAAGTGGCTTCGGCGGAGAGTGGAACGTAGAGAAACGCGATGTGTGCTGTTAAAAGATGTTTGCGTGATCTTACCCAAAACACTTAACCTGATTACTTAAAGGAACAGTTAGGCGAAAGATAGAGTTTACTCAGTTTTCCCCTTATTACAGATGTAGTCGATCAGAGAAGACATGTTTTGAGGTCTGAATTTACCCTGATGGCAAGAGGGTAGTGGACCACTGTTGGCTCGCGTTTTCTGGCCGGCCCACCAGTGGTTAAGCAGAGTATTAGACAAAATTCCACTTATCGCTCATTTTCTACTCATAGTCCAGTTTACTTTACCAGCTTTCTTTAGTTATACATTGTAAATTAGTTTAGTAAATCATTTTAATCAGTGAAATCATTTTAACAGTGTCAGCAACAACATTTTCTATAAAATCATTTCACCTCAGGCCTAGTCATTATTTTTCTCTTAGTTGTTTGTAATATTTGTCTTAGGTTATTTATCTAAAATGAAAAGCTCTGTGAATTTAAATCTGTTTAAGGAGATTAAAAACTAGGTAGAGTTTATATGCAGTACAGTAATCTGGGCGGTCCGAAGGTGGACCAGCAGGGGCAAATAGCCAGCGGGGTGCCGACCTTATCAAGCCAGTGGACCGATATATGCTCGCTGTCTGGGTAGCTTCTTTAGCTTTAGCTAACTGCAGCTACAAGGCTAATATAGCCAAATAGTAAAGGAAGCTTATACCCCTCTAATTAGCATATTGCACATCGCATCCCTAAATGCTTATATAGGCGTGTAGGGGTGGGCAATATTGCAGAAATATAGCATCACAATACTTGAAGACAATTTCACGATACACGATATGTATCACAATATTTAGTTTTTCTAAGAAGAGAAACAAAAACATTTAAAAATACTACGAAAAATTATAAACACAGTGATTTCTGTTCATTGTTTCACACTGTAGATTGTACTAAATACATTTGAACAGGACTAATTATGCTCTCCTATGATGAATTATAGATAACAGTGTGTCACAGAGTGTCAAAAACTACATAGGCATGAATTTAAAGCTCAAATCCGACCCGACCCTGAATGCATGTGCTAACAGGGGTAGATTATCACAGTGCTTACTTTTGATATTAAGTGCTTTAGTTAAACTCCATGTTGTCATATGTTACACATGTAAAATGCAAAAACAGTATTTATTAGTGTTATCTGTATGTGTTTGTGGAGTTGCTGCTTGTACCCGGCAGAGAACAGCGTCCACCCTCCTCTGTTAGTCCTGTTGTGCTAAAGTTCCTCTTGCTACTGCTGCTACTGCAGAAATGCTTAAAAGGGGAATTCCACTGATTATTCAAAATTTCTGTATAATTCCGTCATTGAGATGTGAACAAAGTAGTGAATCGATTCATTATAGAGAAACTTGTCAATTGCTATTTTATTTACTATAAACAATAAACTTGAACTTCACTACGTGAAACCGAGTCCGAAGCTTTGGAGTCGACTCTCGATTCCCAAATTCCTGGAAGACAGGTTGATTCTTCATGGGACTGACTCCTAGCCCTTCTTCCATTACTTGTTAGCTACATTAGCCTCGTAGCTCCAGTGCAAAACTAAAGAAGCAAACATGTCTAGACTGATCATCTACATTTGGACCCAGGGGATATTCGTGTACATTAGATTTTGCGTCAAACTGTTCCTTTAAAAACTTAAGCCTGCCGAACTTGAATTCCGTGTCTGTGGGGATGCGAAGGTAGATGGTAGATGGTTTCGTGGACGGGTTCAGAGGGGTTACCAAAGTAGCTCTTGTCTTACAGTCGGAAGAGCCTTCCGACTCTAGGCCAGTCGAAGTCGTTTAGTCTGGAGGTGTCGTGAAGTAGAGAGATTTTGAGACGGCTTTTCCCTTAAGAGTCACCAGCGCAGGGACTAAATGGAAATGTTTCTAGTCCCGTAGTTAAGCTGTTGCACACAGCGCTCTGTGTTTCTGTGTCTGACCGCATGTCTCATCTCTGGTTTCTCATGTGTGTGTTCGTACGTCCGCGTGTGTGTACGTGTGTTAGATTAGGGGTCAGTTTAAATGTTACAAAATCTCTTAATTATGCTTGAAATACTTAAATCTTGCGAATCGAAACACAGCATCTGGATGCCAATGTTGGAAATGTCCCCTACAAAGCCCTGTGTTTTTCTGTTCACGTTACAATGTTTGCTTGCTTGGTTGAGCCTGCATTTAAAGCTGTTTTTAACCTGCCCTCGCTGACTTCACCTCACGGGTCAGAGGTCTACAGATCAAGTGACCACAACACCATTTGCGAAACAAGAGAAGGCGGATTGTTCAGTAGGAATGCATTCGACTTGGCTGAACTCTAGAAATCTCTGTAATGCAGATTGCTATTTGTGGAGTCTGAGTGTAATGTACATAAACTTGGGCCTGGTCCCATTTCTTATTTTCACCCCTACCCCTTGTTTTCGAGTGCCTCCTTGCCCCTTAGAACTGAGTTATAAGGGGTAGTGGTTGAAATCTTCCCTCTGAAATGGGACCCTCAAATAAAAAGAGCATCACTTCATTAACAGCTACCAGCGCTGCTCTGTAGGCGACCCTGCCAGTCTGCAGTGACAGCAGAGGAGGGTAAAGTTCAGCTCCTCACTGCTGGGCTTTAGTTACATTTAGGGCATCATATGATCTTCAAAGAGGGGGGCAATTATTTATTATCACCCACCCACTAATTCTTCAGTGATATGAAGCTGAAGTCAGATATTCACCAGCTTCTTGTTCGAATTTCCCCGATTCCACCTTAAATGGAGCAGCAGTTACATTCTGGCGCTTGAGGCGTCAGAACTGCTGGACTATTTAAGGTGGAACGGGAAATTTAGCTAGCTAGGTGACATTAGCATACTATTAGCGTTTCTCGAGGCTTGTTATGAAGAAAACGACCATAATACACCAAAACAACATTAAACTAAGAGAATATGATGGTTATCGTCATTTTTAACGGAGAAAATTCTCACATTTGTGGGTTTCTTTGGTCTCTTGTTCAGCCATCTTGCCAGTTTTTCTTTTTTTCTCATAACTCTCTGTTTGGAGTCTCTGAAAAACCTCCGTTTGGAGGGTCATGTAGCCCCAACACTTCACCCTCCCCCTCTATCTCAACAAGAATCGGGACACTCTACCCCTAGGAGTGAACACACAAAACAGAGGGATAGGGCTAAGTGGTAGGGGCGAGGGGTGAAATGGGACTGGGCCTAAGTGGATGTTTGCTTTGTCTGGCATAGCCTTCAGGTTTGGAACACTCCTTTTTTTGTTGTTGCAAGCTGTGTTTCTCAGTATGTTAACTAGCAAGCTAGCAGAGTAGAAGCTACATCAGCAGTCATGTAGAACTATGAAAGCCCTAAAAGGCCCTGCATGTTTTTTTTCCTGTGATACTGAGTTGTTTTCATTGGTTTTCTTGAGATCTTGTGATATTTTGTCCCCCAACAGCTGGTCAGATGTTGTTTTCAGGATCTTGAGCTATTTATATCTTATCGAGACGTTACAGAAATTGCTTTATCGAGATGACATTCGTCATGTCATGATAATGGTATAAATATGGGGCAGTCATGGGCTGGAGGTTAGGGAACCAGCCTTGTGTCCAAAAGGTCACCGGTTCGATCCCGCTCTGGGCAAGTGTGCTCACTGCCCCCTAGTGTGTGTGCATTCACTAGTGTGTATGTGGTGTTTCACTGCACGGATGGGTCAAAATACACAGGTGAAATTTCCCCATTGTGGGACTAATAAGAGTCATTTAACTTAAAAATATCTTAAGATCTCAACAAAGCAATGTTCATTGTGTCATGATAATGATGTAAGTGACTCAAGATCTTAAGAAAACAAATGAAAATGACTCATTATCACAGAAAAATGGCGTAAAAAAAATGCAAACAGCAAAAACAGCAAATTGAACGTTGTAGTATTTTATTTCTCTCTTATAAACAGCTTTTGGGTGGAGGTTTAAAAATCAAACTGCAATGTCAAACTCACTGCTGCTTTGCAGCTTCTGTTGAGCCATTTATCATAAATATTAAGAGCAGCTGTCATTTTCAAATTATGCGTGAATGAAAAACGTCAAAATGGAGATGTGAGGTGACAGTGACGATATGTTGACTCAGTCCCTCAGCCTTCCAAGGCGTCATCTAACTAACTTCAGCTACTCAGATAGTAGACAGTCCAGGGCCGATTCTGGCTTGATTGCACGAGTGTTGGTTGACCACCGGGCAGATATGAGGCATGCAGGCCAGATGCTGTACAGCTTCATACAGTTTTGCCTCGTGTCTATATTTGTGGGCCAATTCTGGCGTGAATGTTGTGGACCAACAATGTAGTTGGGCCAGATTTGGGCCACATCCATTGGGTCTACTCACTTTACTGTGTGTGGGCCAGATCTAGGCCAAGGACCCATCCATATACTGGGCTAGAACAAGCCCAAGGATGTGGCCCACACAAATTTTGCTAACTGGGTAATGGAGTCATATAAGGAACCTTAAAATTAACGGAAATGGAAAATAATTAAGCATCTTCCTTCCACATTGTGATATGTTTTCAAATGAAACACATTATAGGGAGGGTCTCTGAGCTAGCTGAGCATTTGCAGTCGGTTATGTGTGGAGATGGTGGGAAGGGAGGGTGAAATCTGATATTACTGGTTTATATTTTTTTTTCTTGTCCACTGGTGACATGGTGAAGTAGTCAAAAATTAGAAGATGTTTCAGAGGAGGATAAAAAGCACTACTTTTTAGTGGAAAATTAGATGAAATACAAGAATTTCTTCATTTAGAAGATAATATATTGCTGTTGTTGGAAAAAAACCTCGTATCTCCATTTTTGTTGTTTTTCAGTTTTGCACATAATTTGAAAGCACCCTGTTACCCCTTACATTGTGTGTAAATTACATGATGAATGGACTTGAAGAAACAGCCAAAAATGACGTGGAAAAAATTCTGGTTCCATTGACTTACATTAAAAGTAAAGTAGGTTTTTTCCTTCTCCTGTAAAGTTACAATTTTGGAGATACAAGGTTTTCTTCTGACAACAGTGATATGATGAATCTTACATAATATAACCATAGATATGAACTAACAAGGTTAAAAAAGGTCAGTTTTGATTTTAGGTTGATGCTGGGGAGTCCAATATGGGGAAATGGCGAGGGCATGTTAAAAACAGCAGATGACTTCAGCTGCATATGTCAAGTTAGCGTCGATTTTGTGTCCTTACGAGCTTTTTTGTTTATCCTTTCTGTTAAAACACTAAATCAGGCCGTTTTTGAATAAGATGGCACTGCTGTCCGTTCAGAAAGTGGCTGTAAATGCACACAGATTTTTATGAGTTTCTCATGACGCAAACCGGTTGAAAAGGACGAGAAAGCGTGTGTCTCAGCGTGCGTGTCTGTACGGCTTTCTACCATTAAATAGAGTCCTTTTGTGAGCATTGAGGTTTGTCGAGTGTTGGCCTGCGTTGTTCTGTGGTGAAAGAATAAGACCAAAATCAAATCTTATCGTCACTCTGTACTTCTCTGGTGTTTCTTGCTGTATTGTACAGTTTTTTTTCTGGATGATTGTCAGTATAAATCACTGGATGTAATAGAGTAAAAAAAAATATTAGACATAAATCAAATCAGAGACACTATTTTATACTGCAATATTTACTTTGAGCACATGTTATAACAGGCAGAGGTGGGTGAAGAGAACTTTATGAACATATAGCATCGTTATCCAATCAGTCTTTCCTGAAGTGTATCACCTTTTGCTCAGTAACAGCGTTTGAGTGGTCATGCACCACTTTTACTTTGTTGTTTTTCTTCTTGTTTTTATTTTTCCTCCTTTTTTTTTGCCGTCCTGTTCTTTTTTGTTTGGTTTTTTAGGTAAATGGTGGGGTCGGGCTTCTGGGTTTATTCATTGTTTTAGAGTTAATAGACAGACGGCATCACATGTTCAACTTCTTTTGTATTGTAGCACCAACACTGTACTTTCTACTGCTGAGCAATAAAAGAGAAAACGGTTGGGGGTCTCATTGTGTCTCATTAAAACGGGAGGGACTGTGTTGTTCAGTTTTGCATTGTGAGGCCTGAAAATGTGCTAAGAGGGGTTTTTGTAACTACAGCAACGTTTGAATAGCACAGTGAGCTTTGGAGATAAAATAATACAGCAAGTTATATCATAAACGACATAAGAAGTATCAGCATGGTGGCATTTGTGTAGTGCCATGTGTAGTGTCATTTTAAAATGTACACACTTAAAAATGATGGTTCTTCAAGGGTTCTTTAGTAAAGAAAGTTGTTCTATACAGAACCATGATCATTCAAAGAACGCTTTCCATGATTTAAGGGTTGTGCTGTAGATGGTTCTATATAGAACCTTTCTGAAAAGGGTTCTATATAGCATCAAAAAGGGTTTTTCTATTGTTACAAGCTTGACACCCTAACAGTAGAAGAACCCTTGTAGGTGGTAAATAGAACCATTTTCAAAAAGGTTCTTTATAGAACCATCTACAACACATTGTCCATCAATCTGAAGACCCCTGGTTCCTATCACCACCACTTATTCACCGATTTTCTCTACACAGAAAATCGGTGAATAAGTTTCTCTACTATACATCATTTCACATCAAAATACTCAGAATATCTATGTAAACAAAGGCATTCAGAGTGGTTTGATGTGAAATGGTGCACTTTAAAAAAAAAACAAAACTTAACAACTCAAATGGTACTAACTAGAAATATATTACTGCTCCCTTTAAGACTGATGTATGTAAATCAGCTCTGTTCTGATTGGCTGCCCTGTATTGCACCATATTCAAAAAGCAGTCCAGGCTGAAACACTCCTTATAACTTCACTGTAAATGGGCGGAGCTAAACTGAATGGGTGGATCCGTGCTGATTTATATCACAAAAACAAAATTCAAAACAAGCTATTTTTGCAGATTAGTATCCATATATGATTTGTATGGCCAGGGGTGCAAATATTGTGTTTTAAAACTTTTAACAGTGTCAAAATACTACATTAAACTCTTATTTAAAAAAAAAAAAAAGCAAAGAAAATTTGATTTTTCACGAAATGGGAACTTTAGTAGCACAAAGTGCTAAAGCTATTGTGGTACTGAAACTTGTGAACTGCACACTAAACCAAGTTTAAACTAAACTACTGCCTACAAACTTTTCTTATTATTTATGAAAATAAGAAGCCACAGTGGTCAACAGCAGCTTACTTGATGTCGTATTAGACCACAAGAAAATTGTTCACATAAAACTTAGTTATATGTAGTATGCATTTGAATTTAGATATAAGTGAATACAAATGGTCTTTATACTATCATAATATGCTTACATAATGTTTATAACCTCCCATTCTTCATAAAGAGCAAAACCCAGAGGGCTGAAACACATAAGCATCTGTCATGCACACCTGTAGTATTTACTTCAGCACTGCTAAACCACAGCGAGAGTAGCTCTACCTTTTAAAAGCTCATTTAAAAGCTCAGTGCTTCTGGAATCTTTCCTGTTCACTGC